CCCCCCCCCGGTGCAGCAAATCTCATTTCAGTATATTTTAGAAGAGGAGGAATGATCCGTCTACTATTTCCTCCCAAACTTGTTAATATAATTTCCTCTCCATTTTGAATGAAAGTAAACTCTAATAAGGAATATCAGGTTGGTGTCTTTTCAGTTCCTTCTGTGTGCTGTGCCTGATTGAGAAGTGGCTGTCTCTCTTTTATAGTCCAGTATGAAATCCTGATGCTACCCATGGAAGTGACCAAGAGGGTACTATACTCCTCAGTTCTGTACCATAGTCCTCAAAGACTGAACTACTTGTTTGAGCAGAGTGTATTTCTGAAGCCTTCATCAGTGCAAACCTCATCAGAAGGTCCAAGTTCAAATATTAGAAATTGGGTAGGTGGGTCAGTGCAGACAATAGCTCTGAATCCAACAGACAGCAGCCAAGGTCTGGAACGGGCTCCCAAGGGAGGTGGTGCTCTCCCCTACCCTGGGGGTCTTCAAGAGGAGGTTAGATGAGTATCTAGCTGGGGTCATCTAGACCCAGCATTCTTTCCTGCCTATGCAGGGGGTCGGACTCGATGATCTATTGAGGTCCCTTCCGGCCCTAACATCTATGAATCTATAAATACCTGAAGGCTGGCTTTTTACAGGTGAAGTTAAATGCAAGATTTGCCTTACTTCCTGGAGAGAAATTTCAGTAGCCTGATAGTGCATAGCTAGCAGCTGCTCTTTAACATTAATAGCTCAAAAAAGTCCAAAGTTTATAAACTCTATCAGTAATGCCACACCAGGATCTTTGATAGTGGCTTACTTTCTCTATGACTCATTCAGTTTTCTATTGTGGTTTTTAACGCTGCTGCTGATTTTTCAGTTAGATTTGACTACACATATTCAAAGACCTGTTAGATTGATTTGCTGCTTAAAGAGTGCCATCTACTGTCTATCTAGGTAAATTGCCTCTGTCTTCCCTCTAGCAGCTAGTAGAATGGCTTTTTAATGGCCAGTGTGGATGTGTCTATACATGCAATTTAATTTTCTGCACAGAAAACTGAGGCACATTAAACTGCCCAGGTATGCATCTGAATGTGCACCCATTATGATCAAATTTACTCCTGATGGGAGTAGGTCAGTCCAGGGCTGCCCCTGCTCTGCTCCTTCTGTAGCAGCCATGGGGAGCTCCAGACTCCCCCAAGTGCCAGTCCTGGGCTGGCAGGGGATACGGGGGCCAGTCCCAATCTCTATGGGGTGGGGAGAGCTGTACCAACTCTGGGGGCAGCTGCCTCCCAGCTGCGAGGAGATCAGGACTGGTCCCAATTGCTGCAGGGCAGGGAAAGCTGTCCTGGCTCAGGGGGCATCTGCCTCCTGCTTTGCAGAGATTTGGTCAGCTTTCCCCACCCCACAGCAATTCAGGCCGATCCTGATCTCTGCATGGCTGGGAGACACTGCCGCCAAAGCTGGAACAGCTCTCCCTGCCCTGTGGAGATCGCTAGCCATCCTTGTTATGTCCTCTAGCCATCCTTGCTATGTCAAAGTCTTACTACCTTCCTTTTTTTTATTTGCAAGGGTAAATGATTGTAACAACTATAATGCCTGCAACAAAAAAATCTTAAAGATTCTTGAACTATAAAAGGGGGGAAAAGGCCATATCCCAGTTTGATAAGACTTCCCCTTTGATGAATCTGGCTGCCTTAGAATAGAAGTTTGACAGGTCCATGGTGTTTAAAATAACCTTGACGTGCTGGAAAAATCTGCAAGTTGTATTACAGCTACACTTCAGTCTAAGTTGACCGGCTCTATTACAGTAATGAGATGCTTCTCAGGCCCCCAGTCAGCCCTCCTGCAGTGTCCACTTGACCCAGATTTCCTTTTTACTCCTGTTTGACACAAGGTACACAAAAATAAGGGGTGCAGAGAAAATGCATCTCAAAAGGGTGACAGAAAAGCAATAAGAAGCAGCTGTTGTGTTGCCCTATCTTGGACTGAAATCTGGTGAGAGGAAAAGCGGCAAGAAAATCATCTGGACAAAGTGCAGTGATGCCATATTAACTCTTGTTTAATGAAAGTGCAGGACTGACATGGAAAAAAGATGTGTTGCATTACAGTGGTCACTGCTGCCAGCCATGCTGGAAATTTGCTGTCACTTCTAGGACCTGGAAGAAAAGCTACAATTCTTATTGGCTCAAATTAAAAAGGGAAGTTGATGACATCATCAAGCAGGTATGAGCTGGCTTTAGGGCAGGGGTGGGCAAAATACAGTCCTCGGGCTGGATTCGACTTGGTAACTGATTGGATCCAGTCTGCGGGCAGGCAGCCACGAA